GCCCTGCTCAGCCCCACCGTCCCATCGCCTGCAGCCAGAGAGGGACAGTCCTGGCCCTGCTCCTGACACCACTGCGGCCTCTGTGTGAAGTCCCTCACTCGAGCAGGATCCAGCCCATCTGAACCACATCGGCTCCGCCAAACTAGCGGTGCTGAGCTGAAGCCTCTTTGGGAAATGGCGCTAAATTTCATCCCATTCACAAGCTTGGCGTTCTCCCACCAACAGCTACCTCGCTCTCCCTCTCCGCTTCCTCGGGAACTGCCCTCTGAATCCTGAATATGGCTGAGAAAACGAGCTCATCTGGGCTCTGGCTGCTAACGGCCGTCGGGAGCCCGCTACTTGACTTCAAAGCCCTCAAGCAGGACATCCATCCTCTCCCGGGCAAGGCGACGGTTTCCTTTGGCACATCCGTAAGGGCTTGTGGAGCGCCGCGAGCAGTGCCCCGGCAGGGTGGTCCGAGCCCTCGGCCCACGTGAACCCTGCCAACTCCGAACAATCATCGCAGGGCTCAGCTGATTTACGCCAGCCGAGGACCCTTTCCTTTGAACTCGGCTTTCTTCGAGAAGAACATCGTAAAACGCTTTCAAGCAGGCGTGTCCGAGGCTTTGCAACTTCAAAAGCCACGTGGGCAGCCCGCCAGAAACCCGAGGGCTGCACTTCAGTTGCACAGAAATCTATGGTAATTTCTCAAATGGAAAATAAATACTGGGAGTCAGAGTCCTCCCTGCTTCTATCGTCCCCGCTGGGTGCGGAGGAGCCAGCTATCCAACCTCCCCAGCGACAAAAGCCACCGGCTCTGCCCTTCCTCTGCCATTTCACGGGCAGGCTGTGCCTGCGCTGCTCCGGCAGCCTCCGCTCTGGGCACTGGGAATGTCGGAAGGGAAATTTCGACAGGGGAAGGAGCTTGGTGGCTGGGAGCAAAGGAGGCGGCAGAGCCAGGGGGGGACCTGCCCAAGACGTGTGCTCTGGGAATCCTCCTCCACGGGGGATCCCACCCGGAGCAGGTGAGGGTGAGCAGAGCTGGGGGGTCAGCTCTCAGCAGCCAAAGCCTCGTGGAGAGGAACCAGGTCGCACAGCAGCTCCCGTGCCCCCAGTGCCTGCAGCAAGGAGGCAGCTTCGCCCGCTCCCCTTCACGGGCTGGAGAGGAGCAGCTCCTGCTCTCCCTTCCCCAAAGGCAGACAGGTCTGGAGGGAGTGGGGCAGAGACCACGGGGTGGAGAGGCTCTGGGAGGCTTGGGGGGCTGATGGTTGGAATTTGGCTGGGGGGCTGATGTGTTTGAACACCAAGACGTAGTGAGAGAAACCTTCAATGTGACCTTTGCGCACTCCCTGCTCGCCCTGGGTGGCACTAACCCACTGTCAGACGCTGAACCACAGACCGAGAGCTGAACGACGGCTCCGCTGCCTTGAGCCCCAGAAATACTCTACCCACGGCCCTGGCTCGCCCCCTCCTGCAGAGCCACATGCCCCGGTCCGTGCTGCCGGGAGCATCCTCGCTGCTGCAGCGGGAAGGGACGGCGGGCAGGAGTGCTGTGGGACCTCACCCCGGGACGGCGGAGGATGGATAGGGCAGTGCCAGGTGAGGGACATGCAAGCCCTTGCTGCCTGCCTCAGCCATCCTGCCAGCCCTTTCCCTCCGGGCACGGCAGAGCCGCACCGCTGCCCTTTGCAGGCTCCGGTACCTTGACACTGGTGTCTTTGGAGAGTCCGGTTTCGTACTGAGGGCAGACACGCAAGGTGACAGAGCCCGGCTTCTTCCCTCGGTCGGTCAAGCACCCGGGCTGCTCCAGTTGCTCCTGGAAGCTCTGAGTCCACTCGGCT